GAGTCAAAGTACATAGAGAGGTAGTAAAACCACTAGTCTCTAGATCTACCAGGAGTACCAGTCCTCGCACATCAAGTCCAAGTCAAACTCAATTGACTTGAACTCTTCTGACCTAGATTCCAAAGGCAAAACCACCACCTCTAGGAGAACTAGCTAAAGACGTTCACTAGAACTCAAACAGGGGGATGTAAATCCAAAGACCTCAAAGTCTACCAGGAGTACCAGTCCTCGCACATCAAGTCCAGTCAAAATCAATTGACTTGAGCTCTTCTGACTTTGAGTCCAAAGGGTCTACATGTTGGGCCCACTTGGACCCACCACCCCCCTCAAGGTTCCTGCGGGTGTCGTTTGCCCAAGTTCGAACCCCCGCAGTGGCGGTGGACCGTCGTTTACCAAGGGGTACCTGTTCAATGCCGCGCTCACAGCAATACGACGGTCCCTTTCCCAATACGACGCTTAAAGGCTTTTCAATACGCCGGTCCCTGATACTTGGACGTAAAGGGCCTAGGTCTTTTTTAGACTTGACTTGGCAGTCCTAGGTCTTTTTTAGACTTGACTTGACTTGGCCTAGGTCTTTTTTAGACTTGACTTGGACTTCCTAGGTCTTTTTTAGACTTGACTTGGACTTCCTAGGTCTTTTTTAGACTTGACTTGGACTACCTAGGTCTTTTTTAGACTTGACTTGGACTCCTAGGTCTTTTTTAGACTTGACTTGGACTACCTAGGTCTTTTTTAGACTTGACTGGACACCTAGGTCTTTTTTAGACTTGACTTGGACTTCCTAGGTCTTTTTTAGACTTGACTTGGACTTGGCCTAGGTCTTTTTTAGACTTGACTTGGACTTCCCTAGGTCTTTTTTAGACTTGACTTGGACTTACCTAGGTCTTTTTAGACTTGACTTGGACTCATCCTAGGTCTTTTTTAGACTTGACTGGACTTCTCCTAGGTCTTTTTTAGACTTGACTTGGACTTCCTAGGTCTTTTTTAGACTTGACTTGGATCATCCTAGGTCTTTTTTAGACTTGACTTGGACTCATCCTAGGTCTTTTTAGACTTGACTCCAGGACTCATCCTAGGTCTTTTTTAGACTTGACTTCTGTCATCCTAGGTCTTTTTTAGACTTGGCTCCAGTCATCCTAGTCTTTTTTAGACTTGACTTCTGGTCATCCTAGGTCTTTTTTAGACTTGACTTCTGGTCATCCTAGGTCTTTTTAGACTTGACTTCTGGTCATCCTAGGTCTTTTTTAGACTTGACTTCTGGTCATCCTAGGTCTTTTTTAGACTTGACTTGGTCATCCTAGGTCTTTTTTAGACTTGACTTGGATCATCCTAGGTCTTTTTTAGACTTGACTAGGAATCTTACCCTAGGTCTTTTTTAGACTTGACTTCATCATCCTAGGTCTTTTTTACGACTTGACTATCCATCTACCTAGGTCTTATTTTAGACTTGACTTAGACTTCCTAGGTCTTTTTTAACTTGACTTGAACATCCTAGGTCTTTTTAGACTTGACTTGGACTTGACCTAGGTCTTTTTTAGACTTGACTTGGACTATCCTAGGTCTTTTTTAGACTTGACTTGGACTATCCTAGGTCTTTTTTAGACTTGTTGGAATCATCCTAGGTCTTTTTTAGACTTGACTTGGACTGATCCTAGGTCTTTTTAGACTTGACGTTGGAACATCCAGGTCTTTTTTAGACTGACTAGGACTTCCCTAGGTCTTTTTTTAGACTTGACTTGGAGTCATCCTAGGCCTTTTTCAGACTTGACTTGGACTCATCCTAGGTCTTTTTTAGACTTGAATGGGAATCATCCTAGGTCTTTTTTACACTTGACTTCCAATCATCCTAGGTCTTTTTGGGACTTGACTGGGGTCACTCCTAGGTCTTTTCCTCAAGATTCTCAAACGTCAAGTCATTTTTCACTTGACTGGTACCCATCCTAGGACTTTTCCTCAAAACGTCCAAGTCATTTTTACACTTGACTGGTCACTTAAGGTCTTTTCCTCAAAACGTCCAAGTCATTTTTACACTTGACTGGGGTTACTTCAAGGACTTTTCCTCAAAACGTCTAGGTCATTTTTACACTTGACTGGGACCCATCCTAGGTCTTTTCCCCAATACGTCTAGGCCATTTTTACACTTGATGGGACCCATCTTAGGACTTTTCTGCAACACATGTGGGACATTTTCGGACATCTTTGAGACACTCTCTAGGTGTTTTCTGCAGTGAATCGCAGCATCCTTTATCGCAAAAAAATACAAAAAAAACATAAAAAAATTTAAAAACCGCAATAAAATGAATGGCAAAAGCATGTGCATCATGAAAACAAACAGAAACCTGAAAATAAAATTTTCACCTCATGTTTTTTCGTAATATCCGCGCATTTGCATTCTTCTCATGCAAGTGCCGCGATGGTTTCTTGTGCGCAAATTTTGGCGCATCGAATAAACCAAGTTTCATGCCAAACGGACCAGAACGCGTTGAGAAACACACAAAAGCACCTTCACGAAAATGCATTCTCGAAGCGCGAGGGGCTTTTTGACCCAAATTTCGTGCCCGGAGGGCCTCCGGAGTACCACCATTCGAACGGGCTCGTCGAGAGCTTTCGAATGATCCAACTTTGAGCCCAAACGGACCACTTTACGACCTCCAAGTAATGAAAAACCTTCAAGGCCGAAATGACTTTGTTGTGGGGGGAAAACGGCTGCATACGCCCGGTAAAAACCCCGCCACCGGCGTATTGAGGAAATTTCATCTATAGGATGATTAACATGCAGAAAAAATGCTACACAGGGGGCAGAGATTGCAGAGGTCATGGGTTCGACTCTGCCTTTTGCATCCTGGACGGTTTCTTTCACTTGGGACCTAGGTCTTTTTTAGACTTGGACCAAGGTCTTTTTCACTTGGGCCTAGGTCTTTTTTAGACTTGACTTGGCAGATCCTAGGTCTTTTTAGACTTGACTTGGCAGATCCTAGGTCTTTTTTAGACTTGACTTGGCGATCCTAGGTCTTTTTTAGACTTGACTTGGACTTATCCTAGGTCTTTTTTAGACTTGACTTGGACTTAGGTTTTACATTTATCCTAGGTCTTTTTAGAGGTCTTTTTTAGACTTGACTTCAGTCATCCTAGGTCTTTTTACACTTGACTTCATCATCCTAGGTCTTTTTTACACTTGACTTTCAATCATCCTAGGTCTTTTTAGACTTGACTTCCAATGATCCTAGGTCTTTTTTAACTGATTCAATTCCTAGCTTTTTTACACTTGACTTGGATGACTCTAGGTCTTTTTTACACTTGACTTCAATCATCTAGTCTTTTTTACACTTGACTTCCAATGATCCTAGGTCTTTTTAGACTTGACTTCCAATGATCCTAGGTCTTTTTTAGACTTGACTTCCAATCATCCTAGGTCTTTTTTCACTTGACTTGGACTGACTCTAGGTCTTTTTCAACTTGACTTCCATCATCCTAGGTCTTTTTTAGACTTGACTTAATGACCTAGGTCTTTTTTAGACTTGACTTCCATGATCTAGGTCTTTTTTAGACTTGACTTCCAATGATCCTAGTCTTTTTTACACTTGACTTGGACTGACCTAGGTCTTTTTTAACTTGACTTCCAATCATCCTAGGTCTTTTTTAGACTTGACTTGACTCTAGGTCTTTTTTTACTTTTTTTTTTTTTTTTATCTCTAGTCTTTTTTACACTTGACTTGGACTACTCTAGGTCTTTTTTGATGGACTGACTCTAGGTCCACATCATTCTAGGTCTTTTTTACACTTGACTTCCAATCATCCTAGATCTTTTTTACACTTGACTGGGACTCATTCTAGGACTTTTCCTCAATATGTCTAGGTTATTTTGGGACATCATGGGGACACTTTCTAGCTGTTTTCTAGAGTTAGTCGCGGAGTGTTTGACCAAAAAAATTATACAAAAAAATAAAAAAATTAAAACCATGATAAAATGATAGGCAAAAGCATGTGCATCATGAAAACATTCAAAAACCTGTGAAGAAAAAATTCAACTTAGTTTTTTCATGGTAATTGAAAATTGGTGTTCTTCATATGCAAAAGCCGCGATGGTTTCTACTACAGAAAAATTTTGCGCATCGAATGAGCCTATTTCACCTCAAACGGACAAGAAACCGCCGAGAAATATGAGATCGACTAATTAAGTGATTACTTGCCCCTTTTTCGCATATCATTTTTTACATATTACCATACCAAAGCCGCGATGGCTGCTAATAGAACAATCTTCGGCGAGTCGAATGAGCCTACTTTCATCTCAAACGGACAAGAAACCACCGAGAAATATGTGATCGACTAATTAAGTGATTACTTTGCCCCTGTTTTCGCATATCATTTTTACATATTACCATACCAAAGCCGCGATGGCTGCTAATAGAACAATGTTCGGCGAGTCGAATGAGCCTACTTTCATCCAAACGGACAAGAAACCACCGAGAAATATGAGATCGACTAATTAAGTGATTACTTTGCCCCTGTTTTCGCATATCACTTTTTACATATTACATACCAAAGCCGCGATGGTCTAATAGAACATTGTTCGGGAGTCGAATGAGCCTACTTTCATCGCAAACGGACAAGAAACCACCGAGAAATATGAGATCGACTAATTAAGCATTACTTTACCCTTTTTTCGCGAATCAATTTTTCATATTACCATACCAAAGCCGCGATGGTTTCTAATAAAACATTGTTCGGCGAGTCGAATGAGCCTATTCTAGAGCAAACGGACAAGAAACCACCGAGAAATATGTGATCGCAATTAATTAAGCTTACTTTACCCCTTTTTTTCGCGAATCAATTTTTCATAGTTACCATATCAAAGCCGCGATGGTTCCTGGTAAACCAAGGTTTGGCGAGTCGAAGGAGCCTACTTGCAGCGCAAACGGACGTGATGCTGTCGAGTAATGCACAAAAAACTGTTGGACTTGTGGTCATGGTGGTTGATTATTTTATGTAAACAGAAGTGA